ACCAGTCGGAGAGGTGAAGTTCAGTGACAGGTGACTTTCTCCACCTATCACTCAGAAACACCACGCTCCTAATCATGCTAAGCTTTAGGCTAAAGTTGATTAAACTGGATGAGTTATTGAAAAACCCTCTTATAGTTGTCCAGGATGAAATACGTATGTGACCACATTACTGTGTAATGAACATGTGATGTTTAAAGAACACCAGAGGAAGAACTGAACCCTGAGGCTCCAACAGAGAGCAGGGCATTTCAAAAAAGTCTCCTCAAGTTAACACAGCTTTTACCAAGTCGGTTATTGGAACTGTAAATCTCTGTTTGATGTGGAAATCATGGAGCATGTTGTTGATGTCGGATTTAATTAGCTACAGGAGGAGCTCTAGCTTTGACATTACACATACCTTCTATGTTGCTTCCCTCCTCCTACAGGGGGCTTAACCCTAAACTGGCAGTGACACCTCTCTCACATCCTCGCACTCCTGTGACAGATCGGCTGCTGAGACCAAATGAAACATGCAGAAAAGCCCTGAAGCTGCTGGTGAAGTATTCATGCCTTGCACGTGTTCCCACTCGGCTTAGTTACTGAGATGATTTATGCTTCCAAATAGCAGGAGGTCCTAAACCCCCCCACCTCCACAAATCCTCTGCAGCTGATCACAAACGTAACAGCTTCCGGTTCCCGGCACTAATGTTACATGATGTGTTGAACAATAACATGTGACCTGTAGACCGTGGTACTGCAGGTTCACTATGCAGGAAGCAGCTGCAGCACTCCAGAAATAAAACAGCCTCTTCTCTCGGGGACGCTTTGACCTGTTTCTGAGGATTGAGCTCTGCAGGCTCTCCAATAGACACTGTGGAAAAACGCCTCCAGATAATCAGATGCTCCGTCACCGCACACAGACGAGGCGAGGCAGGAGCTCTGTCAGCATCCATCACTGGATCACGGAGAAAGACAGAGGATCAGAGAGAGGAGAAAAGTGAACTGCAGTTTCAGATGCTGAGGCAGGTGTGAGTAACCTGACCCTGTAATC